TGGTAATATGGGACCATTGTCAGTGGTTGATACTGGTAATATGGGACCATTGTCAGTGGTTGATACTGATAATATGGGACCAATGTCAGAGGTTATTACTGGTAATATTGGACCATTCTCAGAGGTTGATACTGATAATATGGGGCCATTGTCAGAGATTGACACTGGTAATTTGGATCCATTGTCAGAGGTTGATACTGATAATATGGGATCATAATCAGATGGCTTTATTTCGATGGAGACTGTTCTCATATTCTTATTTAGAGTTGAGGAAATTGGAGACGAGCAGAAGTTTCTTGATTTGCTCAGCTTAGCTAATGATTTCGTTGTTTCGGTGTGATAGTGTTGCTTACGACTAGTGAAGGATGGGGATGATGGTATAGTATGGATACCGTTACTAGTAGAAGACAAATGCGAAGGACCTATGGAAGCACTATTTATAGATGAAGGATGGATGTTCGAAGAATTTTCTGAAAAGTAAGGAAATAATAACCAATCATAGTATGCTTTTTATTAATTAGCTTTCTTTAAAGAGCTGGATTAAGTAACCCTTGCATCCAAATTGAATGAGAAACTTCGAAAATAACCATCGCAACACTGTGACCTTCCTATGGTTTCTATTGGTTGACAATGAATGCGTGAAATGCATTCACACTCATTCCAATGTACAGAATCATTGTTGTTTTCAAAATTATAAGTACTCTATCAATGAGGCAGAAATGAAACATAGAACCTAATTAGCCATTCTGAGGCCAAGAAAAAAACTGGGTAGAGTTGGCATTGCATTGTGGGGATATCTTATTGGACGAAAAGACACCATCTTGGAAATCTTCCCCAAAACAGTCCCACGATGCACTGCAACACCAAATCAACCCAGYTTTTTTCCTMAACCTCGGGATTGGCTAATTCGAGGTCAAAGATGAAATCGCGAAGAAAACGTATTTTATACTGAAAACAAGTATATACCTTTAGTGCAATTTTCTCCCATCCATTTATCAAGGCACAGTTTCTGTCCCATTTCATTGCAAATATAATGACCAATAGAATTGTTACGAGGTTGACAGTAAACCAAACAATCATTGCCATACCATCCTTCCCGGCAGATTTTGCGACCTCGGGAATAGTCGCAGGTGTAATGACCTTTACTATCGTCACGTGCCTTGCAATATGTTGTACAATTAGGTGCAAAGTAGAAGTCATCACAATAAACCTTAAAAGACAAAAACAACAACAACAACAACAAAAAAACCCAGCTATTTAGAGGAGCAATCTTTCATCAACCTGAGCCGTGTTTGATTCCCTGGCTCGATGTGGTATATGAGAAGAGAGTTGTAGAATTTAATGGTTCTTTACTGTGTTTCGAGGGTTTTATCTGTGGRTCCTCCGGTTTTGTAATCTTCTCAAAAATCAACTTTTAAATCCTAGTACGATCTTCGGCTTGTACATAATTGGAGCCTGGCTCACATTGGTCTCCAAAACTCAACAGTCACGTTAGCATCCTCATCAAAAAATATACTGATCCCGGCTATGCTTGAGTGCGCACCCAAACAATGGGTAATTTTCCCAATGGAATACAGAAAGTCCGAACTCGAATTCATAATATCTTTTAGTAGCTATCATTTTTTTTTCTTAATGTACCCCTAGAATGCATTGATTCTAAGACAGACATTTATAATTGGCAGCACTCAGTGTCTGTTCCWWGCTGTATATCAAAAACACATTTTAGCTTGTCACTAGGAAGATGGAACAATGAATGCGGGATTTGTGTATTACGCTCTTTTTCCTGGAATGAGTGACACTTTTGATTCTCTTTAGATACTAACCTTGACCTTGATGTTSATAGCTGATTGGCGTCCTGTCAATCTGTGCCTGTACTCTGGCGCATCCGKCATGTTTGGTGACGGTGAGTATAGAATATTCACGGTGTAACGATCAATCAAATCACTGTCTTTCCCAACAAAGTTGGAGCTGTCGTCGTCCCATACTTCAACACTGAACTTTAGAGGCTGCAAATAGTGTGGCATCAAGTGAATTTATAGTGACTGCATAACAACTCACCTATGTCTATACGCGCTGCCTGCCTGTAATATGTAAATGTAATAATAGTTCATTTTTGTAAATATAATTAATTGTAATGATTGTGCAAAATAAAACTGAACTGAACTGCCCTACGCAGTGATACCTGACGAAGGTTTAGAAAGGTGTGGCTACACGTGACCCCCTTTCTCGTCTGGTTGTTTTTGCTTCAGTGAAGCTTAGACTCCTTTATTTAATGACTCTCATTAGTCTGTTATTTCCCCATATCTGTTTACAAGCAATCCGATAGAAAAGAACCAGGACTCCATAATCATTAATTCGCTTGGGATATGTTAAAGCGAGCACCTGATGCGCGGGCAACGAAGCACATGTTCATATCTCCTCTAAATTTCCAAACTTCACATCGAAGGCCGGATCGAGAATAGATAACCTAAGAATCGCAACGAGAATATCACAATGGTCATTACAGGGATGTGTTATTTACCTGCCACAAAGTGAAGTTATAAATAACTGGATTTCTTAAGCCATTGCCCAACGAGGTAGAGAATGAAAACCTGTCACTACTTGTTACTTGAGTATCTCGTCGGTACAGCGAACATTTATCAGTCTCTCCTACACCAGCCAGACAAAGTATGAAGAAATTGTCACAAGAGCTGACACAGAAACGTACGTTGTCACAGCAACCAYCATCATATGCACGTGAGGCAGCGTTCGTGTAGTCCAGCAGTTGTATTGAAAGTTTTCCAGACGAATAACAACACTGGAATTTAAATAAATTCATTTTGGTTAATCGCGTATTTTTTGATAATACCCCGGTTGTTATTGAAAAGCTGAGTTTATAGATTTAACTTTCTGGAACAAACGCAGATAATGTTGCGATGTTGAGTTTACAAGACAACACAAGTTATTAAAAAAAAGCACCACTTTGTTCGGAACTACTTTCTAGATGTGGTGGCTACGGCCTTGGCGAATTTGACGTAACGCATGTAGCTTTAAAAAACTTAGATATGACCAGGGGCGTATCCAGGGGGGGGGGGGGGGCACAAGGGGTCCGTGATCCCCCTTTCAAAGCCAAAAAAATCTAACCGGCCGTTGATGCAGTGTGTGAAGATTTGTTTAGACTCAACTTAAGAAAATCAGTTTTCTAGCTTCCCCGAGCAGTCTTTTCGTTTCGTTTCCTCTCTATAGACCATGATTCTTTTTCGTCAAAGCAATAGATTGCTATGACGTCATATTGACGTCATATGACGTCAAAGTGACAATTAGGACCCCCCCCCCCTTAATTACAAATCCTGGATACGCCTCTGATGACTATACATTTATCACGCTATTGAGTGTTACTGGAAATGCACAGCCAATTAGAGGCGAGATCGTGAGCAAAAATATACCTCTTTAGTGCTGATCCAAAAATCTGTCCATATTAATGGGTTGCATGTTACGTCATTACCGCCATGTTGGATGACTATACGAAGCATTCCTCATGARCTTCTCTTGTTTGATCAACGAACATCGTGGCTATTTGTTATTTATATCTCAAGGGATTTTTCGATCACGTCATTCGCACTCCAAGATCGAGTAGCTTAGCCGAGCTAAACTGACCTGTTTTTCGAGTTTTGAAATTTTCCCTATCCCTTCTCTACTGTGGGATACTTTCGGGGGATCAAAGGTAAGAACGTTTTCTGTTATTTCGTGTATCCAGTTTAACTTTCCGTGCATCTCATTTCATCCAATCATTCATCCTCAAAGGTAAGAACGTTTTCTGTTATTTCGTGTATCCAGTTTAACTTTCCGTGCATCTCATGCTGGTATATAAATATCACACATGACCATACCGCTAGTGGTTTCCGTCAGAGCAAAAGGCCATTTCCTGTTTAAGGATAGAATCTACTGGAATCCTCTCCGATCCTGAGGTGATGACAAGCAGGTCACCGTTATCATTCACCGACTATACAAACCGACTGTGCATTTATTTTCAGAAGTTCAGTATTCTCTGTTCACTATTGCAATTAAGTTATTTTTAGAAGCTGATTATTTGGTAACATTTAGTCGATTTACTTAGGTTGCCGCCGCTATGTTTCTAGAATCAGTAAACAAACTAGATTAGTGGTCTCACAGTGGCTTCTTCCTCAGAATCTCGTTGGAATTACAAGGTTTAGCTTGGGTGGTCTACCCCTTGACTATCGTTTCTGTTATTTCARTTTTGGTTCGTACAAAAGTGGGTCAACTTAACAGTTTTTTGGTCTGGTCTTTATCTTATATAAGCCCTTGTCTAATCATAGCTACAATATCATGTGTACCACTCGCGGTTGGTGAGTGCACTTGTATCAATTGCTTTTAGTTTAGTCTTGCTTTTATCAATAATCCTTTGTCTTGATAACTTTGATCCTTGCTGACAAGTCAAAATAATTCCTTATGTAATGTTTAAATGGTAAAAAGTTTTTCGTTTGGGTTTTCCAATGTTGCCACTTAAAACATAAAACATACCGCGGATTGATGATTATTTTCTGCTAGTGTTAGCGGTAGCCAAAACCAAAATTTCAGCGGACAGCTCGCAGCTTTGATTGATTCGCGTAGGATTATTGAAAAATGATATAATTGTTTGACGTCCCTTTCAGTATAGCACACAGACTATTCAATCTTATAATTTTAGTACCATTGGTGAAGTGATACTAGACTTTATATACCGTCCACAATCTGGAGGGTAAAGTAAAATTATCAGGATAATCTAGCTCGTACAATTATCAGATTCAATGCATATATACAGTGTTCACACTTCAACTGTGACACAGTACTGATCATAAATTTATTTAGTACAAAATGTATAGAGTACACAACAGTAAATTGTTTATATTTTTATAATTCACCTAATTCCAATAATGTTGTCATATAGAAATAAAAAATAGCAAAATAACAAAGGAATTAATTATATTTTGAGCAAAACAGGAGTAAATATTTCACWTTTTTGAAGGTATAGCTAGATTTGACATTCTTGATATTTTCTTATTGGTATATACCAAAACATTTATTTTTATCCATCTTTCTAATTTTTTTTTATTTATTTATTTTTATCTTTTCTTTACATAACAACGTTCCGTTGCAATTAGGTGTGTACGCTAATACTAGTTTGTACAAAAAGTACTAGTTTTGCAGCACTGATTCATGGATATAGCCTTTGTACTCTAATAGATGACGATAACAAATCTCTTTAGTCTGAAGTTGAAATCCAACTCAATAACATTGGCGTGATCATAAATTAATTTTATTATCCCCAACATGTCTGGTATGTCCTCATAGAAATCCAAAGCTTKCAAAAAGTGGACCACATCTCAAGCATACTATAGTGATCAAGTGCCTAGGTRAATTATAGCCATTCTGCGGTCCGTGTTGAACGCTAGGCGAAACTAAATAGWATTGGTTCCAACATCGCTATCTCTAGTGTTTTAAACTAAAAGTTTTAAAGACAAACGCCTYTCACCAAGATGTCCCGGACTCTGTGTCGCATGTGAGTAAAGTTGCTCGTAGGCTTTCTTTCTCTGCTTTAAGAGCTTTTCTCGAGGTTCTCTCCGGTTTGYCCGCTTCTCAAAACTTTACGTTTAAATATCAATATCACGACAAACACGGCTACTCTGGAGAAATACCACGGCTAAATTTCATATATTTTTATAATTGATTTAATTCTATATTATTGACTGAAGTGCCTTYTTTTTTTTTTTTACTGTTGGTGGCTGTCTCCCTACGTAAAGACAATCAATTAAGAACAAAATATCTAACGCATCAACCTTACCGGCAAGAGGATGAGGATGAGACAACACAGGACTTGCTGTCGGTTCCTGGCAGGTTTGACTTTGTACATTTAGTTCAACGACAAACAGAGTCCAGATAAAGATAGATTTGATGGATCTTTACCGTTTGCTCTTCTGATATAACAGTGCATATTTATCAGCCCTTGCCATGATGGGGCCCTGACCTTCTTTGGTTACCATGGGTACTGTGGGAGCGCAAAGTTGGRTTCTTATGGCGGTATAAATGTGGTCACCTCAGGTAACTGCATTCTCAAGGGGTTGATCTCCTTGGCTCAAAAGTCAAACCGCTGGATATATATACCTTTTTTTTAATGATCGGTCGGACATTTCTATTTCATATTTATTCRTTCATTGATCATTTACTATCGTTTTACGAGTTGTCCTAGTATTTTAGATACAGTCGATATTGGATTATTGGACAGTCGATATAAATTACGTWATGATGATGCAAATCATCAGTAAACTGCATGAGTACGTACAGTGAACTCTCGCCTTGCGGACACCCCGATCTTACGGACACCTTGCTATTACGGAGCAGGAGAAAAATCCTCGACAAAAATACTGACAAAGAAAKGACCGTAAATTCATTCCCGCTACATGAAGTGACGGTCCCGAGGGTGTCCGCTGTAACGAGAGTTATGACTGTATTACTTGTCATAAGTAATTTTAGGTCTTATTCTTGTAACTGATTCAGAAGATTCCTTAAAATTTAAAGGACCATGAGTCAAAAAAGTTCGTATTTGGGTTCAAGAGGCCTTTCTACTTTCATCTTAAATGAAGGAAGAGTCGACTTATTAGCAAGATGTGTAGTACATTTGACTACGAATTGAAAAGCAGCTAATAGCCACGTGTAGCAAGGGTCATGTGCGCTGCTAACAGGTCTGATTGTGTCTTTTAATGCGACTAAACCTTCTAATCGGTCAAGAAATATATATAAACAATTTTGAAATTAGGTTTAAAACGTGAGTAAGCCGCCAATTGTTTGCGCAGGATATGTGACAGATCGTTTGTGCGTTAAAAATAATCGTCAATTGGCCAAGCTTGGGCCTAATGTTTTCCCATTTCCGACCACTTGGCATTTATTCCCTTGAGAATAAGATTCTTCCTTTGAGTTCGTGTGTTTTTCCATGCGCCGAATCATTCAATGAAGAACTTATACTCTAGGGAATGGCACGTAGGAAAACTGGAGAAAGTTAAAGACGTGTCTATCATATCAGGTGAATGAAAAATCAAAATAGATGTAGTTATGAGTTTGAAGAAKGCTTTTTCATTTTAATCTCATTCATGGTTCTTACTCTCCTTAGTAACCGTTGCCATGTCCCACAAGCTCAAAAACCTCTGACCATGAAAAATGTTTTCAATTGTTTATTTCCAGRAAAAAAAACTGAATCCTAATTCTCRTAGTATACTTTACAACRGATAATATATAGTTAATTTGTGGAACAAGATTTTAACTCCACCAGGGAAACCGTTGCAACGCTGATTACTTTACTTTTGTCTGTGTCGGAATCATGGGTTCTCAGCACAAAATATTTCGGGCTTTAATTTGKTTTATTCATTCAAATCATACTTTTAAAAAGGGGTTATAATAATAATAGTTTATAATAATAGTTTATTATTTGTATTGCGCAATTTAACATGTTAATATGATCAACTGCGCATTACATATAGGTACACTAAAATACTAGGCATTAAATCTCTAAAAAACTACAAAAAGAGTATATAAAAGATTTAATAACTAAGGTCCAGTTTAGACGTCGAATCCCGCACGCGCCGAATCCAATRCAGACAAACCAAACATTAGTTTGTCCATCTGCACTCTACCCGGCACGCGCGAAATTCTAATGAACTCTTTTTTTTTAGGAGTAGATGTGCGTTCAGGATGTTCTTCTGTCGGCCTACGAACTGTATACAGTCAATTCAAAAAATGTTGTCGTCGACCAACTCAAGCCTACGCGACTAGACCGAAAGGAACTTTGGGTAGCAATTACTGAAGCCGAGTTGACTCCATAMTTTTATCTGACTAGTTATGCCTGGTTTACAGCACGAACGTTCGTAGGCGAGCGGGAAGGTGTTGAAGGAGACGTTTTTTTTTAATGCCTTCATATTTTCGAAATTGTGAACTGAATCATAACTACTTTGTTTTTCTTTCCCTAAACTCAAAGACATGCATTTGATGGATTGTTTCTCGCCATTATTATCATATTACTAGCGGGAACAATTAATTCAGGACGACTACTTAACCGCTTCAGTGATTTTTACCCATATTCCTTTTGGTCCAGTCACGTAGGCCAGAGCCGGTCGACGACATTCTACTGCTCTGTTCCTTCCTCGACTCATGAAACTTGGCACAACTCGAGTACTCGGGTTAAATTCGGAATGTCATCGAAAGAAGAACTTCTGGTCGGATATTATCGTTAATTGTGAAGGAAGTTCGAAGGGAGAAAGCTTCCTAGTACATTCCTTTATTATTTTAAGTTAAAACTATGATACTGGAATCAAAATGAGGAAATAAAAATGTGGGTCATCGACATATATAATTTTATTGTAATATTCCCCGCAAGGGACCATATTTTTGGGCTAGTAAAATGTTCTTTCGTGTGACGCGTGGTACGCAATGAAACAGAGTGAATTTTAGTGGAGAAAGTGTACTGTTTATATTGTATTAAGCGGATACGGAGAATTTTGTTTAAGGAAAAGACAAAAAAAAAAAAAAAAAAAAGAAAAGCATACTGATTATGAGACTAGAGTAAAATTTAGAAAAAGGCTTAACTTATGATTTACGATGCAAAAAGATACTTATTATTGGTCAAGTTGCTATCATCAGATTTTCTTTATTTTTTCCACAAGGACATTGAAGATAATGTCCATATGGAGCTATTATGAGAAACCTGTTTTTTCTTGATATTTTACTCATCCAAATATTCCTTCTGATCACGATGAGCACGCGCGTACTACTCTCGTGCGTACAGTCATAATACCTGAYCCAGAAGGTTAGAGTGGTGACAGAGCAAAAGACATATGATGACATATGATAATCAATATTTCACGGCGTACCTACTTCGTGACTCAGAGATCCATGATATATTCGGATATATACTAATTTGCCCCCAAATTGAATTCTTTTTGTTTTTCTTTAGTAATYGTTTCTGCTTTCGTTTGTTATCCCAACCCCCCCCCCCCTTCCCCTCTTGTTTGACCTTGTGTGTGTGTTTATGCAATGATAATTTTCATAACTAGCAATTTTAAATATGAAAAATTATATTTTTGCAGTGAAAATAACAAATTCTAACTTATTGGAACCACTGTTTTAAAATAAAACATCTGCTTCGTTCGTTCGTTCATTCATTTATTCATTCATTCATTCGTTTGTTCATTCATTCATTCGGCATTCGTTCGTTCGTTCGTTCGTTCGTTCGTTCATTCATCCATTCCTACAAACTTAGGCCCCGTCCACACTCTGCCGGATAAATTTGAATCCGCAACTTTCACACCGAAACCGAAAAAAAAGTTTTCCGTCYACACACGAAAACGGATAAAATGTTTCGCGTCCACACAAGTCCGATCAGAGGCGGCAAAAACGCTTTATTGCACATCTGAGCATGTGCATCGAAGCTGAATTTGAGTCTGCGGTGAATTTTAAGCCTTCCCGCCATGTTCCCATGACAATCATGACGTCATCGTATTTGAAAAAATTYGGATACGAAATGTTCTCCGTCCACACTAATACGGCTAGCCGGCGTTTTCAACTCGTTCCACTCTGGACACCGTATTCGAAAAAAATTCGTTTTCGGTGAAGAATTGTTCCGGTATATTGCCACGGTATAAATTCGAGCCATTAAACGAACTGTGGTCTTGGAAGCAGTCGTCACGGAAGGCAATTATTTCTCGAAACCACTAACTGATTTGTTTATTTAAGCCAAGGAAATTATTCAATTTACGCAAATAAGAGTAACAATTAGTGGTGCTTTAACATCATATACATTTACTGTCAATGGGAAATAACGTAGCTAAGATCTCGCTACATCTAAWACTGCTTTGCGGTGTACTGATAATTGACCTTATAACGACTAGCCCTTAACTTGATTTAAAAAGTCAATGAATATCGCCTTCAGCCGAACATAAAYAGTTAGAACTGACCATAATAGATGCCTTGATTTCCATTGGCTATGCGTCTGTAMCGAGGACTGTTAGTGATAGCACTTTCAAATACTAAAAAGCGTAAAATATTTGAGCGTTCGAGTTCAAATCGTCAGGCTTTTCGCCTTCATATTAATTCAGTGAAAACCCATTCGAGACGCAAGGCTAATTTTGTTCGATAAGATAACAAGATATCGCAATAATCTACTAAGCCCTTTTAAGTACTCAGGCGTTTAAGATGTCGAGTTTGATAAAACACTTTTTTTTTTTGGCAATGAGTACGATTTTTCGTGCWGTATGATTTAATGTCATTTTATCATTCAAGGGACCGTCTTAATTGTGGAAACCTGTGAYGGTATCCCTTACCTCTCATCTGCTTGTAATTTATTTATATTTTTCATTTCTTTAAACTATGATTTGATGTGAGGCAAATGCTAAATAAAATTTWAAAAAATAAAATAATACATGATAGTTTTGATTCATCAGCTATTTAATTATAAATTAAGCCAAGCTTTCGAGCATCTTGCTCTTCATCAGGGCAAACTGATACATTTAGCTATAGCACGCGCACATTATTATGTTGCGTGTTTCTTGTGAATATTGTCACAACCGTTTGCCCTGATGAAGAGCAAGATGCTCGAAAGCTTGGCTTAATTCATAATCAAAAAGCTGATGAATCAAAACTATCATGAATCTTAACTCGGCTTACAAACACTTATTGGAATAAATAATGTATACGTATCTGTATATGACAGCCAACTTGATACAACCTGACGGAATAYCGGAGTTAGAATATATACTTATGTAGATAATTCCCAATGACTAAGGACGACACATTTCAAGGGCTTTATGCGTCCGTCCGTCAGTCATTTTCCTTCTTTCGTTTTGATTTTTTTTTTTCCTTTACTTTATATTATTTTAATATTTTACGCCTTATAAATCGGTGAGGGCATTCGTTTGTTTATCTATCTATTCTTTCTTATATTCATCCACTCCTACAATAATTCTAATTTTTGTATTTATTCATCCTGTATTTCATCCTTTTGATCATCAATCCATTCCTGACCAAATTCATTTTTTTCATTTATTATTCATTCACCGATTCTTCCCACTCCTCCAGCCATTTTTTTATTATGTTTTCATCCATTGAGACTAAAAGTASACCTCTTCTTTAAACCGAGAAAACATTTAAAAGATAGATCTATTCACGCGTTATCATTCATTCAAACATTTATTCACCCAAGAGAATTCCGGAGAGTCTATCCTCCGCTTTGCGCTTTTTTGTTTCTTTTGATAGACTAGTATATTTCCCCCTTCAAATCATTCATTTTAGTCTTTAGATTAGCTATCTAACTTATCCAACAAATTGAACCGGAAATCAAGAAGCATGTCAGCTTTGAACTAGATTTCTAATCTCAGGCCAAGTGCAATTACCTCGGGAATAAAATTCCGAGAGAAATCTTTTCGAGTGTTACAGAAAAAGAAAAGAAAGTGAATGGAAAAAACCGTTGATAGAGTGACGTCTAATGCCTGGTTCTAATTGGACTTGGCTCGCAGATAGAATGGCTTTKGCATGAGTRTACTGACTTACAAACACATATACAGTATATACGACATGACTCATTCAACCAGAATGAGTAGTTA